TGAGAGTATAACAAAATTTTGACAAGTCTGTAAAGTATCTACATTGTTTTTGCACGCCGATGTTGAAGGCAAAATAAGAGGACGTAAGTTATTACAAAATTACAACTATCTGTACCTTATTTACGCAAATAAATAATTTTTGAATTTGAATTTTTGAATTTTTGACTGTACCATGTTACACCCACTTTTCACTATTTATGTTATGAGTCCCTTGTAATAGCGTCACAATTCCAGACTTCGTGCTACTACTGAGATTAAAAAAAAACCCATTAATACTTTGCCTGACCTGGGAATCGAACCCGAGATCCCTTGCCCGGCAGTCGTATTTGCGATCACTCGACCAACGAGATAGTCTTTATAGTTTGGTAAGTATTTCAGAAATCTGTTAAGTATTGAAATGTTTCCAGTCATGCAGCTATCGTAACAGATTTCATGTCGTGCAATACGTAGGTATTTTTCGCATAAGATGGATTTTCCTAGTTCCATGAAAGCATCCATGCTCACTGGAGCAAATACAATTTGAAAGTTGGATATTTAACAGACTGAATAGGTTAAATATCTGAAAACGAATTTTACTATTGAATAATTCGCGCTGAAACGTGATCGGACTTTTAAGCACGGAATAAGATGTCAATGGAGTCGGGCGGTGGATATATATTGCACAATAGGAGCCGAGATCACACATAATAATATGGCATTGGTATTCTGGAGTGGGGAAGAATGTGCGTTCCGACGGCGAGGCGGCGACTCCTTGGCGTGCCTCGTGCCCGTGCCTCGCCCGACGTCGCCAGCCGCGACCCCGCGCCACCATGCCACCGCGCCACCACCCTTCACTTCCTAATTGTTTCCCACACGAATCTACTTATGAACATATAAACCAGTTTGTCTCATAATAATGTCACATATTAATATCTCCATCAATGTGTTCCCAGGGTGGTACATAGATTTTAGGCGTGTCCATTGAGGAAATCATAAATGAGACAGCTTTCATTCATAGGAGTTTACTAAAGTTTCAATATCTTTTTTCTCCATGTGCCGGTTTCTCGTTAGTAGGTAAATAATATAGGTATTTTTATATTGTATTACGGTTCCTGATAATTAAAATACGAAAAAATAAGATTTTCATTCTTCCCTTGATAATGTCGTGTTTTTAACGAACACGTGGTCACTGATGGTAGCCAATCGCTCTGCTCATGGACCGCAATCCCAGAGATGTTACAAGTGCATTGCGTTGTCATTGTTTCAGTATTTTCATAATTGTCTCTACTGTAGATCCTGGCTAACAGATGTTGTAGTGGTTTTGGAAAATGTGGTGGTTTGCCCAAAAAAAAGGTCTAATGCACAAACTTTATGAAATACGAGACTCCAGTCCCAAGCCAGGACACACTACTATTATAATATGCAGAGCACTTATCCTCATCGACTCAATCGGTAAGACATTAAACAGAGAGCCAACTTCACGGCTTTTATGAAAATCTAAGAAATAATTGAACTTACTTTCCTGAGTCATCTTCACTCGTTACCCGCTCATAATCATATTAAAGTGTCACCTCAGGAGCCAGGAGTAGTAACAAGTGTCAATCTCGGAGGCACAATCCTGAGGAATATTTAGGACGGAGGGATGAACTTTGAATATTCATGTGGCCGCACTCGTAGACTCTTCAGCAACAACGAGTTCTCTTTCACCTATTTGGCATGATTTAAATTATTTATAAGCGAACCGTGTGCGGCCCGGCCACGCGGTTGTTCCCCTATAATTTGGAAACTGTTTGTACGAAGCCAACGAAGCAGCCAACACGTGAGGAACGCTGGGAAATATCCTTTATACCGCTGAACATTCTGTTAATAAATGATGAATAATTTTTGTCTTCCATTTCATGCCGTGACTAACCTACCTTCACTGAATACTTATTATGAGAACATGTTGTTGGATAGGTCTAAGGTTAAGGTTATATTTGAACAATTTATAAAACAATACTTAGGTACTTTATATTTCCGTATTTAACTAACTACCGTTGAAAAAAGATTTTTGAAATTTGCCCTTAGAATCCAAGTAACTCACATGCCAAAATAACTTTATCCACCTACACAGTTTTGTTACAAAGGAAGCTTCAAGCTTTCTTTATATGGAAGACATTGGGAAGTTATTTTCTCTAATTTAAGTAGACTGGTGTGGGCACCAGAAAAATTACTTTTTAAAACTTAGATTTTGCCCATACACCTAAAGAAGGCTGTGAATTTAAGATAAAATTTAACGTGTGACGTTCCAAGTTGAGTCACAAAGCGTCTCTCAACTGAGATTTTAGTGTTTGGTGCTTGAAACATTTTCAAAGGGGTATGGCAGCGAAGAGTAGTAAACTCCAAACTAATACAGTTCTCTATTTACATTGTCAGTAAGGTATATAGTTGCTTACCATAAAAAAGTGATTGATTCTGTGACTTATATATTCTATCTATGACGTATTTTTTATTTTCATGTCGTAATTGACGATTCCTTGTTTATAATGAATGGCCTTGTCACAACAAGGTGATTTCGTCAAGACTATTTATGGATCATAAAGGATAGGATATCATAAAGGAACGGACCCGGTATCTACTGTATTATCTACATGTCATAAAATCGAGAAAAAATAATCTCATGCAATATGTAAAAAGGGACTCACGCTGTATTTCGGGCACAGTTTTTATTTCTTAATTTGAATAAACCGTCAATTCATTCACAACTCCATCGTTTCTGAGAATACCTTGTTCAATCAGTATATTAGGATATACTTCCACGCGGTTTACTAGTTACACCCGCTCTGCTCAGCTCCTATTGATCGTAGCGTGTTTTGTAGCCTGTAGCCTTCCTCGATAAATGCACTACCCAACACAAAAATAATTATTGAAATCGGACCAGTAGTTACGGAGATTAGCGCATTCAAACAAACAAACAAACAAACTCTTCTCTTCTCTTTATATAATATACTAGCGACCCGCCCAGGCTTCGCACGAATATGTATGTATTATAGAGGTACATATAAATCTACCTTAAGGATTACTCTATCCATTAAAAAAACCGCATCAATATCCGTTGCGTAGTTTTAAAGATCTAAGCATACATAGGGATAGACAGACAGCGGATAGCGACTTTGTTTTATACTATGTAGTGAAGTATAAGTATAAGATTTTTTTTTTTGAGGGGCTAAAATCATCGAATGACTTCTTCCGCCTTGGGTTAGGCGAGAGGGAGTGTCAGACTCTTACTGATTAAAAACCACCCCGTTCCTACTCCTGCACTTCGAGCCGGAGCCCCGGCAACCCGTTAAGTCTTCCCTGGCTCCGTATCGGCATCAGCCCAGTTGGGCCCCGATCTGTGGTAGTAGAGTATAAGATGATAAGGCTGTATTAATACATGTGAATCTATCTCTAACTAATGCCTCGCTGTTCGAGTTGTCGCAAGCAAAATACCGTGGCACCGTAATTGGTTTTTTCAATCAGAAATAGAACTTGACATTTGAATTGTATTAGAAATTACGATGGGGTAGGCAGAGGTGCACACAGAAGTAACACCCACTTTTCACTATTTATGTTATGAGTCCCATGTAGTAGGGGGTGAGCCTATTGCCATATACCGGGCACATTTCCATACTCCGTGCGTGCTACTACTGAGAATTTTTTAAAATTTAATTTAGATGTAAAATGTATCAATATTAATTTGTTAGAAACCTACAAAATAACTAACCTATGTTGAAGCTAAAGTATGAAAAGGCGCACTATGCAAACAAAAGCTTATGAAACTTGAAACTAGAAAGAATTTTACGTTCTTATTTTATCTTTCATAATAGGAGTGATCGATAACCCATTATGACGTCACACACTCAGGTGTTAACTTAGAAAGTACTTAGTACTTAACAAGAAACCTTATAGTACTTAGCGCCATTGTTCGAATAATCGATCGTTTGCAGGCTGCAGTGCATCACCGGCACGGGTTCGATTCCATTAACCTTCAACTATAGCATTAACTATATTTACTCTGATATTAAATAGTAAATGTATACTTAGTAGTATTTATTTAAGTCTTTCAATGATTTTTAATAAACAGCGGACATACAAACGTTCAATTATCATTGTTTGGATGGAACTTAAATTTTTTCACCTTTATAACAATATGGTTACGTAATACTTTCAGCCATTTCAGGCACTGAAAGTTTGTAAACATTCAATAATATTTTTTAAACTTGAATTAATGCCAGGCTTCGAGACTGCCTTGTCAACAAGCGTTACCTATCATCATCAAAAAAAGAAAATCGTAATGACGATAACAAAAAAAAACTACAAACAAACCTAAAAGTTAAGTAAAAAGAAAGTTAGGGTAAAGTTTTGCATTGTACCTGGATTAAACTGGACTTACGAATTACTATGCTGTTCAAGAGTTGAAGTCGAACGCTGAAGGAGCGCGATCGTTCAGCTGACACAATGAAGTGGCGTGGAGGGTGGAATGGCGCGACTCGCGACGTATCATTGGCCGCCGCGGACTGGGAGCGTGGTCCAAGTTAATGGCCAACAGCGGGAGGCAGATCTAACGGAATCATCAAATTGCAATGTTAGAAGATCAATGTAAATTAACTAGCTAGTAAATAATATTGCTTTTTCTAGGTACCTTCGTTTTAACCACATGTCAATAATCTGTGTCAAAAATACTTAGGGACGTTGTATTTCTTCATTCCATTTATTTACAAAAATGGTCTAAATTTGTGGGTTCGAATTCTGCATTCGTGATCGAAAATGTGAAAAAGTAAATTAAAATCATGAGAAAAAGATACATTTGCTATTGCGTAATATATAGGAATTATCTTTGCAAAAATTATTGCAGATCGTAAAAAAATCGCAACTCGCTATAAAATGGTAATACTACCAATAATTAAACGTTCGCATTATGCGAATGTCCACGAGATATTGCAGTGACTTGATTAATAACACATGCGTAATATAAGTACATGTCCTGAATCCCAATCGCCTAGCGCGTATATTAGGGGATGTTCGCCATGACTCCAAACGAAAGCCTTCACGCTCGCATCCGCGCCCTCCCCGCGCCCGCCGCCCGTCCGTGCCGTCCTCTCAACCGCAAGAGTGCTGGCTGCGGGCGTCGAGTCAGCCGGAGGCCGCCGCGCCGCTGACATCGCACTGTCCCATGCAACTCCACACTTTTATCTATTTAACAAACTTTTACTAAGTGACTAAAATCTGCAACCATGGATGTGGAGGAGTTCCGTGTTCGCGGCAAGGAGATGGTGGACTACATCTGTACGTATATGACGACGCTGGAGACGCGCCGGGTGATACCCTCGGTTGAACCAGGGTACCTACGGGCTGCGCTGCCGGCTGAGGCTCCGCAACATCCGGAAGCATGGGACGATGTCATGACCGACGTGGAGAACAAGATCATGCCAGGAGTTACGCATTGGCAGCACCCGCGGTTCCATGCCTATTTCCCGTCTGGAAATGGGTACCCCTCGATTCTGGGTGATATGCTGTCTGCCGGCATCGGCTGCATTGGATTCTCTTGGGTAAATTTTAAATACTTTTTACCAAAACTTTATACGCGAAAATTCGACAAACAGTTGCAATTTTAGTAGTAACTTTTTTTTAGTGATAATTTAAAAGTTATTTCAAGTTATTTCACGTGAAAAACGACTTAAGTATTTACAAGGAAAGTTTTAAAAATCATGCATCTAAAAATGATCACTAAACAATTTTAATTCCTTGCCAACTGTTAACTATGTTTTATTGAAAACATTATTATCAAAAATTGGAATGCTATTAAATTTGAACGCTGGAAACTGTAAATCTTACGGGTTATAAACACCATGATAATAAATGTTTAGCGAATAATTATAATGCCACAATAAAAATTACGAGTACCCACTTAGTAAAGCAATCGACAACTCAATTTTGACTGACGTGAGATCAAGACGGATCGAATACTATTAAGGGACACATCTAAGATCTATTTACCAATTATATAATTATTCTGACTATCATATTAATATCTACACTAAATATAATGTTGCGTAGGTAGTTACATAATTCCTGTTATTAAAAATTGCACCGCATAAAATATCAGCTGTTCATTTTTTATTCCAACACGAAACAATTTAGACTTTAAGAACACTGGTTGATCATAACTAGCCATCATCTAAATTAGTTATTAATAAATGTAAATTAACACAATATAATAAATGAAGGCAATAAGAAGTTTATTTGGATATGATGTCGGTTTTATTACGAGGGTAATGTTAAACCGACATAGACGGGGCCGAGTCAAAGACAGCGATTGCAACAGTATTGATTGTCCTGTAATTGGTGTTTTAAATAACTTATGCTATTGCTGACCCTTTCAGCCTAAATAAACTTCTAACCGTATGTTTGTTTACTTTACAGTTTAATTCTTAGATACTTTTAAAAGACTTTATTAATATGTTTTTATTTAAAACTGCCTCTTTTGTCGATTGGTTGCTACTACAACTGCTCAACAAGGGATTTCGGGTGATATTCCCGTGGGCAAGGCATTATTGAGATTTTCCAATTTTTCGAATATTTTTCACGCAGTAATAAAATCCAGTTAATACGCGATTATAATCTTCTTATAGAATAAATAAAATAATTATCTCGTTGGTTGAGTAGTCAGTAAAACTTAGCTGTTTGGCCTTTCTAAACCGAGTAAAGAACTTACTAAAGTTTAGTATTTGGTAAAGTAAAGTTTTAATTGTAAACTATCAAGTTGGTTATTGAATTATTTGAACAAGAGAACGGCAATCACGCCAAAAAATAACCAGAAATAAAATGTAAATCATCGTTAAGTCCCGTAACCGGATATGAGCTATTTTAATTATTCAAGACAACTGCCACACAGCGTTCGCAGTAGAAATAAAAACAAAAAGTATAATGATAAGATATTGAAATGAAAAGTAATGTCCATTTGTATGCATGAGCATACTATTTTGTTATTCATAGATATAACATTACGCCAATCATTCGTCGAAGGGTTAGACAGAAGTGCATTTTTCATTAGTTATCAAGCCAATTTCAGACTATTTTTAAACGTAGCCAAAATTATCCAAATCGTTTTAGTGCCCAATCAATCTGAAGTTTTGGTAAGAGTAAGTAATAACGAAATTAATTTTTATTTAAAGTTAGTTATGGTTTATTTATTTATGTTTAATGTACCGAACAAAGACACGAAAATTTGATACGTAGTACCTACATTTTAAACATTACGGTATGAAAGTTAGAGTATTTAACGTTTGAAAAACTTATCCTTAAGTTGAAATAGTAGTCGCGGAGAACCTAACGGGTAACCAGGGCTCCGGCTCGACGTGCAGGAGAAGAAACGGGGTGGTTTTTAGTCAATAAGAGTCTGACATTCCCTTCCGCCTCACCCAGGCAGGAACAGACATTTGATGATTTTCCACCCATAAAAAAAAAGTTGAGATAGTACCTACGGCTTATAGTAGTCACACATACATAGAAGCTATTATAGTAATCATTCATTTTTTTAACGTTGCCCCACACTAGGATTTTCTTCTCTGACCTGGCTTTACAAGTTCATAAACACATGACACCCAGACCTGAAACAACAAAATGTGGATTACCCAAAGAGTGGCTGCGTGCGGGAATCGAACCCGCTAGACTTTACATTCATTAGGTTCTATGTGTATCTGTGACAATGGCAATGTTAAGTTAGCATTGTTCTGGTTCTGTGAACATTATGGGAATAAAAATGTTTATCAGGGTTTAAAAAAGCATCATCTTATAACCTCCATCAGCATCAGCCGAAATTAATGGCATTTTTATCTCTGTTTCGGTCTAGGTTTTTACAAGGAACTCAATATAACTTATGTCAAAGAATTTGGATAACTACGGTTAATATCGGAAGGAAAATAATCTTACACCTAGTTTTTAGTAGGCACACTTCACAGAGCATTTTGAAATCTGAATATAACTAAGTTGTCTTTCCAAAATATAAGCTGCTTCATCTAACTTATGAGACGCTTCGTCAGCCACTGGAACACTCCAACTTACCGATTGTTGGTTATTTACGAAGAACCGATCACGAAACCACTTTTAATTAAACTACGGGAAAAAAGTTTTTGACGGATGTCTAATCTTTGCAAATAAGGATCGATAAGTCCAATACCTAATTTATTTTAACGGCATTTAAAACAAATTATACAGACAACTGTACAGGTTTATTTTGATTCGCCATTCAGCAAAAATTATAAGGTATTTAAACTGTAACTTAAGCATTATTTATCACTATACTTTATTGTCTATCAATTAAAACACTAATAGCAGAAAGTTGTGCCGTTTATCATTTCTCTCACAATCTTCTTGTCCAAATCATCGGGTGCAGTTAACTATCATTTATCACCAAGAAGTGTAGGCGTAATAAAAAATCCCTACACAAATATTTTCGTCAAATTGTCTAACTTCAAACCAAAAATGTTAATGAAACAAATACGCTGAAGTAGCAGGCCGCCACCGTACTTTTGAGTCCATTACAAAAATTGTTTCACCCACTTTATTGCAAAACGGATAGGGTTGCAAAACGGTTCACCTGTTGCGCCTCCTATGGCGAAAGCCAAAACAAAATAAATTAAATTTAGCAGTAGTTAATATAACCAATAATTTGCGCAGATAACAATATAAAAATATAATTGTCCACTGTAGAAACTCGTTGAGTACCGTCATTATAGACGCAATTAAATAACAATAGGCTGCGGTCACCGGTGACCGCTCGGTGCTTGACAGTTCAAGTAGTTAACCTAATGCACCATTCATAAATCGTGCATAAAAAGGGTACAATTGAAGATTTCTTTGAAACAATCTTCTGAGAATTGGAAAAAAATTCTCGATAAAATTAAATATTACTGTGCCTAAGTATGTTACCCGAAACACCTTACTTGGGGATCCAAGAGGGCCTTTATTCAAGACTTAATACATTACAATTTTCACCATAACATTTTTTTATCCCTTTATCCCCGAAGGGGTAGGCAGAGGTGCACATTACGGCACTTAATGCCACTGTACAATGTAATCACTCTTCACTATTTATGTTTATAATTTTCACGAATGGTTTAATTAGGGTTTTTATTCGTTATTTTCTTGCAAAATTGTATATTTAAAATAAACCGCATCTAGGTATAATGTCGACAACCCTACTAGCTTTTGATGATGCGTTTGTTGTTATACAATATTGTATAACTGTTATTGTATCACGAGTATTGTACCAGCTTGTGTAATAAATACAGATGCTGCTGATAACAGATTCGATAACACATCGTAACAAAGATAACATGATAAAACACTATTTAAATATCTATAATAAAAATAATAACTTTTTCCATAATTTATTTTTGTTGATGACTAATGTGAATGGAAACTTTTTCGAAGATTCCTTTATAGAAAGTCTTTTATTTATTCATGGTATTACAGTAATGATAGAAATGTATTATATTGCTTTTATTATCAACAATCCCAGGCCTTATGATTAAGTAATTCATAATAATGAATCATACTGAAGGCGAAATACTAGTTTGTTCAATAAATCCAAAACCAAAACAATAGTTCGATTCTCACAAGTTAAATACGCGAGAGTAATTTCAACACGCCAAAACTTAAATTCATGAGTTGTACGGAATGTTAAACAATGAACTGTTATCCATACACCTAGAATCGGAAAATTAATCAAATACGCAACTATAGCGTAGTGTTGCCCATACGAAAAACATGTTCGTGCTACGGCGTAGCAGATACTTAAAATATAACAATTATGCAAATTTCCACTAATTAAATAATTATCAACCATTGACATTTTTCTTTTCTATATATAAAGATTTTTTGTAATTGAAAACTAACGTAACAGAACAAGTCAGCACTTCTCAGGTTCCGAGATCCAACAAAAATACTCTGCTACGGCGTAGCGAGTACAGGCTACGTCGCTACGCCATTCGTAGTTAAAAATAATGATTTGTTTGATATTTCAGGCAGCAAGTCCAGCTTGTACGGAGCTGGAGATTATAATGCTCGATTGGATGGGTACGTACACGGTATTGAAGTTTTTACGTATTGAAAGGAATCGATTTTCTTTTATGTAAATAATTTGATATGTGATCGTTGACAGGCAAAGCAATAGGACTGCCCCCACAATTTTTGGCGCTGGAAGAAGGAAGTAAAGGTGGTGGCGTTATTGAGGTAAATTGATGAAAGCTATCGTCATACTCTTATATCCTTGATACATACAAAGATATATCCTTGATACATATTTTTTCATTTATAGGGATCAGCTAGCGAATGTGTCCTAGTATCGATGCTGGCTGCTAGGGCCAACGGCATTAAAAGGCTTAAGCATCAATTCCCGAACGTTGACGAAGGCCTCTTACTCTCCAAATTAATCGCCTATTGCTCAAAAGAGGCCCATTCTTGTGTTGAGAAAGCTGCTATGATATGCTTCGTGAAACTTCGTATCTTACAACCTGATGATAACGGGTCTTTGCGCGGCGAAACTTTAAAAGAAGTGAGTAGAATTACTTGAAACGTATTTATTAATTTACTAACCCTACAACAGATCGAACATTGTGAATTTCTGACGGTCCACAGAAACGAGCACAATTCAAATTCAATTTGAATGTAGAGTTACCTATTATTTGGTTACTATTATTGTTTTTAAATGGAATTGGGCCATGCTGTGGAGTGCAGGTTATGCAGGAGTGGTGCAGATAGGCGGGCGGTAATTGAAGAAACAAGACGGCACGGAGCGCACGGCGACGACGGTGTCCCGCGTTTAATGACTCGCCCGTGGATGCCGGAAATACGTAGCGAGCCGAGCGGTAATGGAGCCGCATTGTGTGCCACTTTCTATGCCGCAAATATTGAAATTTCACGATACTACCCTCTTATGAGAGGTCTCTTTAATTGCGAGCTTCAGAAATACGTTCAAGATTTTTAAGAATGCCTTTTCCAATTTGATTCGGATTACAGGATATTTGTACTTATTTATTAGAATTAAAAAGTGTTCTGATTAATGTATTATGTTTATAGGCTATGGAAGAAGATGAAGAAGCTGGTCGTGTTCCCTTCTTTGTTTCGATTACATTGGGCACTACTTCGTGCTGCTCTTTTGACAATCTTCCGGAGATAGGACCTGTGGTCCGTAAATTTCCTAACGTGTGGCTTCACGTAGACGCTGCCTATGCTGGCAGTTCTTTCTTATGTCCTGAACATAAATACCACTTGTCTGGTATAGAGTACGCAGACTCTTTCAATACAAATCCGAACAAACTGATGCTTACCAGCTTCGACTGCTCTCTGCTATGGGTTACTAACCGATATCTACTGACGTCAGCCCTCGTCGTCGACCCACTTTATTTACAACACTGCTATGACCACACGGCCATCGATTATAGGCACTGGGGTGTGCCATTGAGCCGTCGCTTCCGTTCACTCAAGCTTTGGTTTATGTTACGGAGCTACGGTATCAGCGGCCTGCAGAAATACGTGCGACGTCACTGCGAACTTGCCAAATATTTTGAACAACTTGTGAAAAAGGATGATAGATTCAAAGTGTGCAATCAAGTAAAGGTAAGACGTTTATCGATCTTTTTGACTTGATAATATTATATATTTATGACGGCCGCACGGACGCGGTAAAGATGGGACAAGGTGAGTTCAAACAGACCAATGGTACCGTTGCACTTATTACTTACGTAGACATGTATGTGGCCGTCAGCAAGATGTCAACAAACCTTGTGTGAATTATGTATATTGTTGGAAACCTCGTCTAAAATTGTGTAACATGGACATGCGAAACAGACTTTTGCTACGTTCATGTAAAGTTATTTTTTTACCAATGTAAACTGTAACAATACACCTTTAGCTCTTTTTATATATAGTATTAATGTATAGGAGCATTTTTCAGTTGGGTTTAGTTTGCTTCCGCCTTGTGGGAAGCCCTCAGGACCCAGGTGAACAGATAGATGAACTAAACAAGAAACTGCTGACTAACATCAATGCCTCTGGCAAACTGCACATGGTGCCTGCTTCGGTCGGCGATCGATTTGTCATTCGTTTCTGTGTCGTCCAGCAACATGCCACACGTGAAGACATTGGTGAGCCATTTAACATTTATACACGAAGGTGTTCTTGAATATTAAAAATTATTTATTATTCAACTGAATATATTGTATTTAAATTTATTTAAATATTAAAACGAATGAAAATGTTTACAAATAAAATTCATTTTATTCCATTTCGTTGCAGAAATCGCATGGGATATTATAACTGACTTCGCTACGGAGCTTCTGGAAGGACCAGACAAGGAACGGGTACGTTTGCCCAGATTTTTTTCAAATAGATACATAATCTGGTTTGTAATTATTGTTTTATCAGATTGAAAGTGTAAATGGAAACAATGAACAAGAAAATGTGAACGCATTCAATAGGTACTTCGTTATCAAAGTACTATGTTAACTGGTTTCAATCATTAAACGCTTAGAACTAACCTTCGAGAAGAAATGCAGTTGCCTAGAAACTGAAATTAAATTTTTATAGGAAAGTGGCGTTTCGAGACTATACATTTTCAAATTTTCTATATTTTGTCTATACTAGTATAATAGACTATACATTGTCTAAAAAGCCGATCGTGGTCAAATAATGTCACAATTGATTTTGTATCCAATCTGAGTAATTTATGTCGTACTTCTTATTGGCAAAATAAAAAAATACCATTGCTTGTTGAAGTGTATAATGACGTCAGACATTTGGAAATTACAGCATCAGAATATTTAAAAATGTTTAGTCTAGAAATTTGGACATCCATTAATACAAAAAATATTAAAATTAAACTCAAAAGTTTAAGCACCGCTAAACGTAATTACAACCAAAATATGTTGCTGAATGAGATTATAGCAGAACTGAATACGTTATATTTCGGATGGCATAAAATTTACACTGACGCATCTAAAAGCCCCCAGGGACAAGGAGCGGGGTTATTTGACCAGAGCTTAGGCAACAGATTTGGATATAAAATTAAATGTGATGTATCCATTATGTCGCTGGAACTCATAGCAATCTACAAAGCACTTAATTACGTCTTGAATAAAAATTTGAATAAAGCAGTAATTTTTTCAGATAGTAAAAGCGCACTCCAACATATTGCTCGATGCGCCTCTGGCTACAGCAGAGGTACTTCGATAGCATATGATATTCTAAAAGTTATAACGATACTGAAAAATAATGATATTGAATGTAGATTGCAGTGGGTTCCAGCACATATTGGACTTAACGGAAACGAGGAGGCCGACCGTATATCCAGGTCGGCAGTAGTAGAGGGATGTATAATTAATTACGTACCTGATTATTGGGAATATACAAGTAAATACAAACTCACATGCTTTGATTTGTGGAAAAGTCATTTTTTCAAATTATCTATGGATAAAGGTATTTGGTACAAAAGCATCCAAGGTCGGCCTAATCGTGTTCCTTGGTTTGAGAATACTAATTTGGATAGAAACTATGTTAGATTAATATTAAGACTCCGTTCAGGACACTATCCATCGGCGAAGTATGCATTTCTTATGAAAAAGACCGATTCTCCTAACTGTACACTTTGTGGTCAAATTGAAGATGTCCAACATTTGCTGATGGAGTGTGCTCGGAATGGAGAAGAACGTGAGATATTCGTGAAGGATTTTAAAATAAATAAATTTGATGTAGGCATTATACAATCCATTTTATCTGTACCATCTTCAGCGATTATGAAAAAGTTGTGCTATTTAATTTTGGTCCTCCACGAATAACAATTAATCAAGTGAGTCAATGTTAAGTACGTAAAGTAATGTAAAGGGTACGATGGGGCTGACATATCTGTGATAAAAGCCCCTAAATAGTTTGTTAGAATAAAAAAAAAAAAAAAAAAAACATTTTCAAATTTTGAGACCATCAATGAAGAAATCGTAGCATGTGAGGTAGATACTTGGCTTGTAGTCATTTCTTTACGAAATGACTTAGCCCAGGCTTCGGGTTAACATAACTTTTTGGTAAGCGCTCTTCCAGTGGCAGAGTGCATATGCGAAGCGGGCAACAGGGTGGAACTACTGTCGTGGCTGTGAGAATGGAACCGTTTCAGAGAGTAGCTTTATCGACGCAAGATTTTTTCGAAAAACGAATATTAAGGAATGTAAATTACATTTCATGTGATATAAATTTAACTAGTATGTCGTGGCGGCTCAGAGGTTTAAAACGTCCGCTTCTCATGCATGAGGGTGTGGGTTCGGAACTGTGACTTTTTCCAAGTTATATGTACTTTCTAAGATTATCTAGTCACTACTGACAAACGGTGAAGGAAAATATCGTGAGGAAACCTGGGCTTATAATTGCTAATTATAAGTTTGAAATCGCCAACCCGTATTGAGCAAACGTGGTGATTAATGCTCGAACCTTCTCCGTGTGAGAAAAGACTTTGCTCAGCAGTGGGCATTTATAGGCTGTTGATGGATAAAGTTTAACTTTATTCAGAGTTGATATGTAGGTACCTTGTGTACCTGTGTAAACCAACCATTAAACTACTCCAGACTTATTAGTTTAGTAAAATGAATTTTGTTCATTATGTTACCACTCTGAGTTTCAACATAACGACCATTAAAATGTTGAATCTAATTACGACTAGAAGTCGGAGTACCTAGGTATAAAAATATAGGGATAAGATTTTCTACAAATATTGCTAGAACCAAGAAATTAGTGTTGAACGTCAAGTGATTCAATTATTTTTTAAGAACTATTTAATGGCACAAACTGGAACGTATGGTGGATTATACGGTAATAAGGCACTTCCAAAATTCCAAAGAATATGTTAACATGCTCGAAAACCTGTATCACAGCGCGCTGTAAAAGTGTTTAAGCTATCGTAATAGCAGAAGCATATTTGGGAAACCCTGCCACTAAAGAGGTAACTATCTTCGTATGACGTCACTCGAGTTTGAGAACAATTTGACGAATAACCTGACGGGATCGTCTGTCGTCAACATCGCCTCCAGCACTGGTGCCAGGATTGAAATACTGAAAGCCAGATTGACACCTTGAAAGTTGTTCTGGTTCAGGAATAATTCCGCTGAGCATAATATGTTTGAAGACTGCCTATTATCTATTTGCATGTTTTGGTACCTACCTATGTTATATTTTTGGGAATGAAATTAGAGACAGTGATAAAAACTAAGGATGAAACTGATTAATATTATGTTCAAGTCCTGATGAGATCGAAGGATGGATTGAAAACTATTGGACAAGTACAATAGTATGTATTTACCTATACATCTGGGAGTCTCCCGTGACATGACTCTGGCATACTGCTTGATATTGATTTATGTTCTGTTTTATAATTATCTGTCTAATTCTGCTTTGTTTTGTACTTGCTGTTATTTTGAATAGACTTATTTTTTACGTATTTACATGCAGTCATTATTATATTTAGTACTCATAATATTTCATAACTTACCTATTTTGTTTACTATTTATTTCACCTATATATTTTGGCTTATTTTTTTAATATTCTGCTACAGAATTGGCTGAACCTAGTTGAACATTTCTATTGACCTTTAATACTAAGAGTGATTATGTTCTAGGTACACACCTATTGCATACGGTATGAAGTAAGTCAAACGCTTGGCTTTTTAGTTTAATAGAATAATAGAAAGTGTGTCAATTTTAGATAATCATGAGACATTCAGTCTTGTCAAATAGGTTATTAAACACACTGAATCTGATGGATCTGTTGGCCGTCGAGTTCAGCCAATTCTAAAGTAAAACATTTTTTTTTTGTTGCTAATGTCCATTTCCCTTTGTGAATACTTCATGGTATTCACTTTAGGATGGCCGATGTTACGTGCACACTCGGTGGCAAGATTTGGAGGAGTATGGATGCACAACGGGCGGCGCCGTGGCGCTGTTGTCGCGGCTGAAAGATACCTTTTTAGAGACTACCTTCACCGACGCGCAGCCGATACAACGGATAAAATTGGAATTAAAGAGCTAATTCCCGGACAAGTTAATGAGGAGTACTGGTGACAGTACAAAGTGCAATTATGTTTTATTATTTTAGAAGACTGACATAAATATTATTACCTACTATTGGGTTATTAAATTATATTTCTAACATTATCCGAACTTTTGTATGCAATTCACACAGGGTTACTGATAATATCAAACTAGATCTTTTAAGGAGTTACCCTCTTGGAAGATCGAGGTCGATATAATCTACTCTACACGTGTATTACACTCAAGAAAAAAATTCTTAGTTTTCACTGTTTTGCTGCATTGTGTGTATCAGACGTTTCTAACTAAGCTTAGAAAGTAAGAGAGAGACTTATGGTGTCCATATGCCATATTTGATATTGTTTGGTAAATAAACAAAATTAAATAATAGATACTTAGATGCATATACCTTCATACCTACTTAAACATTCTACAATATTCTACATACAATACACACACTATACTACACCGAAGATATTTCCGTCGCTGTCCGTTTCTTCCCCGTTCTTTCTTAAATCGCGCACTTTTTGTTTACCCCTTTCCGTTTTACCCATCTATTCCTAGTGCTACCTATATGTCGCATTAGACAGGAACCCAGCTACAAAACACCGTTACATACAACATAATTTGTCTTGGAAAAAAGAAATTAATTAAGACATCTATAGGTACTTACATACCCTTCCCTAAGCTATGTCGCAGGTTGTTTTTGAACTATGGTCTACTTTTTACTGACAGATAGGTACTAAGGGTTGTAGACGTTGTGCCACTGCACTATACATCACCTCTCACTATTAGGTACTTTCAGCAGGATACTTTCCCCATGTTTGGTAGGCAACTCTCAAACATCTCAACAATTACTTCTTTGAGGTAAGTTGTACTTAAATATTCAAACTTGATATATACTATAACTAAAACAATTAATTTCGTTCACCAATTCTATTGCGAATTTTATATCCACCATGCAGATCCTATTAACAATCAGGTATCTACCTATCTGTAACCATTATGTTCTTCTACCTTTATGAATCTTTCTTATGGGTTAGATTCATCATCATCAGAAGGCAGCTGGAGGACGTCAACTCCTAAACCTCTTTCTCCACCTCCTCCTAACAAAGCATTTTGTAATATCGTGTCTAGCATTTACCAACCGATACTTCTTATATATATATACATCAATCATTTATGAATTTTTCAATATTTCCGGTCAACTTCGGCATCGTCGTCCATTGTTGTTATGCAACTTCTTGTAACATCGAATCGGTCATTTGTCATTAGGTATTTAAAGAATATCTTGCACTTAGAAATTACTTAGATGGACCTAATGCCTAGCTTACTAAAAAAGTACGAGTAAATACGAAGGCGGGTTGGTATTAATATGAAAAAAAAGGTTCGTGTTATTATAATCGTTGTCACCATTCATCGTCTCAAAGTTCTTATTAACCAACTTACTTTTATACCATAACATACTAAGTACGTAAGTACTTAAAATGTCGGTAAAATAACTACTAATTGACTAGGTAGATATGTGGTAAATTCAGTATTTATGAGTTTAGGTATAAAATTATGAACAGATCAACTTGTCCAGGTATTTATTAATTAACAGACGGTCTCAATAAACTAGGTAAATGTAGATATATTCAGTTAATATAGGTAAGTAGGTAGATATTATGTACTAGAGATAGGTAAAAATAATACCTACCTATCGAAATATGGAGCTTATTTTATGCCAGTATCTACTACTTACCTACTCCTTGGAGTACGTTTACCGATAAAATAGACTTATTGAGATTGGTCGTTACCTAAATACCTACTTTATGGTGGCTCAACGTTCTAAACTGAGTACTTGTTGGACGTTCCAGGACTTAAACGAAGAGCGCGCTCGTCGCAACAAGGCTGCTCTTGCGCACAAGCGTTCGTTCTTCGTGCGCATGGTGAGTGACCCGAAGATCTACAACCCGGCAATCAACAAGACGCCTCCACCGGTACCCACTACTCCGGGCTCTCCGCCGCGCACTGTTGTGCCCACCACGCCCGATACGCCCACTGACCCAGATCAACTCCAACCCTCTACTCCGTGAGTAATCATCTGTCATAACACTCATATTTTTCCATAGAAAGATCGCTAGTACAGACCAGCCAGTCCTCTATGAATGTATCGATACGACAGATAATGCGAAATCAATATAAAACATTTGCGTATTCATAAATTGTTAGGCTTTTAGTGATGAGATATGTTTGGTTAGCCAGCCAGCCCCAACAGCCCGGTTCAATGACAAGCAGCAGGTCTGGTTCTGTGGTCGCCAAACTGCGTGCAAAGCGTGGTGAATGGTGAGTCCACAACCCACGTAGCCGAGTGCGTAGTAATCGAGTAGATAGATACCTACTACTACCTTGTAGATTTCTTTAGTCTTCACTCACATACTTAGCACCTTCTCTCATTTCCATTCTTTATTTCACCGAGGTAAGTTAACAATTTATTATTTACAGGAAACAATCGTCTTGGATCAGCTGGCCGCTCGGATTCTTCTTCCAGAGTGTGGATAACGATGCTAACGATTTGCCATTGAGGTAAACATTTAAATACTGGCTCTTCAATTAATATCCCCGAGTACCTATTTGATTTTCCTACGCGGTAGGTGGCATGAGGGTATTTGTAATTTTATTTATTTCCCTGGTCCCCCAGGTTCCGGCACCTGGACACGATGGTGCGCCTGAAGAGCCCCGGCACCACGAGCCGGCGCGGCTCCTCGCCGTGCGCGTCGCCTGAGCATCGTGCCCCCTCCCCCCACCATTGATCGACCTCCGCATGTTACTCACATCATTATTACTTATCGCAGAAATAAATACTTATGGCAGCATTGAATATATTTGTTTTATTTTATGACATTTGTATGGAAGTTCATTGTAATAACCTAATAACCCTTTGCTGTACCTCAGAATTAATCCGAGACACGAGACCTCTTGCGCAAAGTTGCACTCGCATTTTGTGTTTATTATAATAATAAATAGGAGGTTCTGATAAATGTTTAGATTCTCTTTTACTTTATGTTATAAAAAGAAAAAGTCAACAATTTTGGAATATTGTTTTATTATACAAACTACTTTCAACCCAATGAAATTGTGTGTGATTTCAATTCACCGTTCCATCCAACTGTATGAAGAGTGTTCTTATCCTCGATGTCCCAAGCTGCTCCTCTGACATAGTTGCTGTGCATATGTCTGTCATGGTATATTACTTTGGGTTCACAATTCTCTTCCACTTTACAAACTGTGACAATTTTATTGTCACAACAAACTGCCACTTTGTCCGAACTGTAAAAAGAATCAAATGTTAGTAACCTGTAAATAGAACATGAAGTTGTCCCTAATTATTTTGTTATTTAACATTAAAGAAGCCTTACTCTGGGTGTACAACCAACTTGTGCACTGCTGCAGGGAATTCTGTTACTTTCACATTACTTTCTGTGTTTCTGATATCTACCAAATGTAATACACCAGCTTCATCCCCTACAACTAAACGATTCTCATCCAACCAAGCCAAGGAGTGAATAGCGCAATCATTTTTCATAATATCTGGAACAAACAATACATCAATATACATATATACATATTCCTTTTTGTTAGTAAAAAAACTTAACTTGTGTCTAAATATCAATTCTGTTGTTTAATAAAGTCAGGATTTCTCACCCAGCACTGCTTTATCAGTATTTTCATCCCACAATGTGACATACTGATCCATGGACCCAGTTGCAAAATTGTGGGCAGACTTTGGTTTCACTGCAATTGTATTTATAATCATACTATGTGCTGCACTATAGTTCCTTATACATATCATATCATTTATGTCCCACACCTGCAATTAATTACAACACTTTTATTAAATTTAAGTCTTACATTTTATGTGAAGTCAGCAACTAAGAATAGAAGTGAAAATCATCACTTATCGACAAAATTTTAGTAACTACATTAAACTGTCAGACAATTGTAATGACAGTACTTTTTTAAAGAACAATACCTAATAGGTTGCGGTCACCGGTGTCCTCGCAGTGTTTGACAGTTTAAGTCATAATTAAATCTTCACATTCTTCATTATTCTTGGTATCAAAATGATATTTATATTTTGACAAACCTTAACATTTCCATCAGCACCAGCAGTAGCATAGAGGCGTTCAGGTTCAAGGCAGTCTACAGCCAAAACTGCATTATCATGTTCTGCTACAGAGAGGTCTTCCCTCCATTGGTGCCAAGCATTCTGCTGGTCGCCGTTCTTGACCCATACACTTACTGCACCACTGTCTTCACATATTAACAACTAAAGAATAAAAGTAAATGTTATTAAATATGCTGTATAACGTATAAGAGAATGTAGGGAAATTATACTATACCAGGTACACAAATATGGATATAAACACAAGTTCAATTAGCATTTCATGTGATGATGTTACATCAACTTGATACAAAATATTTAGGCAAGTTGATCCAGACCAGATCCAGTTGATCTTAGCCATTAGGCTAATCAGTTTCAATTATGAATTACTACATTAATTTTATATCCTTCATTTTTACCAGTGTGCACTAAATAATGTAATGTGGACACCACAACCAATATTTACTCAAATTAATCATACCTTATTTGAACTTCCTATAAAGCAACCATCAGCAGTTCCACTGCACAGAGAAATACTCCTCTTATCTTCAGTTTTGATACTTTGAGCTTCAGCTATACTCTTGTACACATTTACGCCACCGTTCCAATACCGACCCGTTAGTTCTGATGATCCCACCAGAACACTTCCATCTGAAACATAAATATACAAAAAAGATCTGTAATTTTCCGAGTTAATGAACTTTCTAAGATTATTTATCAGACAACACAAACGAACGGAGAAGGAAAACATTATGAGAAATCCTGGGCTTATAATTCCTAAATATAAGTTTGAAATCGCCAACCCCCATCGAGCGAGCGTGGTGATTAATATTTTAATGCTAAAACCTCCTCCGCGCGTGCCTTTGGCCAGCAGTGGCTACACAAAGGCAGATGATGTGGAGTTCTGATATTTTCAATATGTTTTCAGGATTATATATTACTAGAAAAAGACCATAAAATGAAATACATACCGGAATGAATTCTGACATAATCTAAATAAGATAGGGTGTTCGTGCCGGTGGTGTCGGTTCTGTATATTTCAGCATTGAGATGAGGTGGGACGATTCTGTTACTATTATCCATGGCTTATAATTAAAGTTCGGTATTATTTCAAACTCCTATAAACACTTTTATAAACAAAGTAACATTGTTTTGTGAACTTCAGCAGTAACCTAAAAAGTGCGTTGCGTTAGAGTTTGTTTGACACTTTGACGTTTAACCATCCATAGACTATACCATAGATGTAATCATAACAATGGACTATAATGTCTATAGCACTGATATGATAAGAGGTTCACGTTTTACTGTTGGTTGACATTGTCTTTGGATTTTAGGTTTATCTATAATCTAAAATAAAAAAGCAAGAACATAATTATAAATTGTTTTGATTTTGTCATGATTTTATAGTCATCAAACTATAAAATAACTATTTTGGTTTAACGTGTCGAAAAAGTATATTGTGAAAATGAATAGATTTATTTTAATTTAACAAAGAATAAACTATTTATTTATTTATATTTAAGAACACTTTAAACTATCATTACAGGGCATCATGTACCCTAATGCGACAGCTAAGAACCAAACCAAATATACAATACAAACCAACACCAACTAAACCAACAATAACAATATATAAAATCAAAAATAAGAAAAAGCTATACATTATTCACCAACGTAATTAAAAATTACATGTCATTATTGAAATTATCGAATCTAATAAAAATACATAATATTATTTTACTTATAACACAATATAAATAGTAATACCCTCGCGAATTTACCAAAACAACATGTTAACAGATCAATCTGTGTCTGAAGGTCGTTAATGGTAGCTCTGGTAAGAGGTGCCTTAGCGAGTAGAGTCCATTTCACGAAAGAAGTCCCGCGGACAATTGTGGAACTAAATTTGACAAATGGGGAGTTCGGCCATGTTGTCGTTTGTCGATGTTGTCAAGGTGGGTTTGTTGTGGTAGATATTTTGTGAGTTTATTATTAAATTAGTGCATTATAAGGTTTATTTACGATGCCAAAAGTTGTAAAAAGTGCAGGTCGAGAAATGATATTAAAATTGAAAGAGTTCTGTGAAGCGGAACAGAAGAATCGCGGCGTTTTAATACCATTAGACAATGTTCGCAAAAGAGTTGCCGCCATAACAGGTAAATTTTGGGGCTGCCATATTAAACATATTTTTTACCAATTAGACTTAAGTTTTTTTAATGAGGAATTAACATAACACAACAAAAATTTGTAAAATTGTATTCAACAATAATATAATTAAATGCGGAAAAAGTCACTGTTAGATTGTTTTTAATTGTTCATTTTATTGCAGGTGTGTCGGAGAGTCGTGTGTTATAAACAGACGGGTAGCGGTTAAAAACGTGGGCCAAGATCCAAAAGAAATTGTACGCCTAACAGAAGAGGCGTTCGAGACTGTTACAGCGGAAGATTGGGCAGTTCAATGCAAACATGTACAGTATTTGGAGGAAGAATATTTTTAAAAAATGATGGTCTTATGGATGAAGAAATGCATCGATTTATTATATCTACGGCTAGTGATAATGAAACAGAATCTAATTCTGTTTCTATTCACTCTTCTGACAGTGATCATAGTATGACCGATCATAATTATTCAATAAAACTTTAATAAAACTTTTTAAATGTTATTTTATGTTTCTAATTTGATGTTGGTTGAACATCTTTATTTCAATTTTATATTTTAGAAATTACAGGAAGATTAATTTTTCACTAATCTGACCTTAGCAGTATAAACATAAATACCTATATAAAAAGACATTATTTTTAAAATATTCCTCGAACTGTTCGAGTACGTAGTTAATCAAACTAATGTCAATTTCTCCTGATTTCCCCATACTATATAAATTTAACCGTGGCAACATTATGTCGCGCGAATACAGCGCTGCGTCTGCGGGACTTCTTTCGTGAAATGGACTCTAAGTTAGTTCTCGCTGTAGGTACCAACAGCAAAGGCGGACTCCGCCGTCGCCACACGTAGCGGTCCGGCACACACAGATTTCAGTGCCGCAATACTATTTCAATAAAAACTTTAATAAAATTAATATTGACTATTACTAAATGAAAATATATACAACTTAAATTATAAATAAAAACTAAAATATAAATATGAATAAATTGAACATTTTAAGGTTTCAGCTGAATTCCTTGTCTATGAAATATTATGTCAAAATTTAAGTCAAAGTCAAACACATGTGATTGACAATCAATCAATCAAATCAAATCAAATGATAGAATCCAAAAAATCACACTTCGGTTTGTCGTTGTAGGTATAGATGGGATTTGTCAAACTATTAGAATATGTAGAAGAATAAGATTATAATTTTTATAAGAACGAAACATCGAAAAACTTACATAGGTTTACTTACTATCTTAATCCATTAATCTATTCCAGGTAAGTTGATTCATGTCTGTCACTGCCTTTTCCTAGCTTTCAAGACTGCCAATAAATAATGAATGCCGAAAACATTCTTGCTCGAACCACTTGAACTGCGAAGTAAATACATACCTTATCAGTTAAACGCCTAAATTAAACAATTTGTTGTTTAAATTTTTGATACGATTTAAATTTATCAACTAGAAACTTAAGTTCAGTTTGTTATTAACTCATTACATACTTGAAGTGATCACATCGTAAAAGTTTGTAAGACGTATATTTTTATTTAAAGAAATGCCCAATTTGGAATTACTGCAAACATTATCTGGCCACAAAGGCATTGTCTGGAATGTTTCTTGGCATCCCCAAGGAAAAATATTTGCATCTTGTGGAGAAGATAAAACAATCAAGTTATGGAGCAAAGAAGGTCAAGACTGGACAATAAAAACTGTTCTAGTGGATGGTCATCAGCGTACCATTAGAGAAGTGGCATGGTCACCATGTGGCAACTACTTGGCTTCAGCTAGCTTTGATGCAACAACAGCCATTTGGGACAAGAAAAGTGGTGTGTTACTATTTTTTTATACATAATGAAATGCTATCATTGAATTGTTATCACTTTATCAGTATCAAATACACTGTGTTCATAGGTCAGTTTGAATGCAATGCTACACTGGAGGGACATGAGAATGAAGTAAAGAGTGTAGCATGGTCTCCCTCCGGCCAACTGTTAGCGACATGTGGCAGAGACAAATCAGTCTGGGTGTGGGAAGTGGCTGGAGATGACGAATATGAATGTGAATCTGTACTCAATGTTCACAACCAAGATGTCAAGAAAGTTTGTAAAGATACCCATATTCAATTTTTAATTGACTGTAAATAGAATGTTTTTCATAAATTATTCTTTTTGTAGGTAGCTTGGCATCCTTCACTAGACATCTTGGCCTCAGCATCATATGATAATACAGTTAAGTTGTACAAAGAGGACCCAGCTGACAATGACTGGAGCTGTATAGCCACATTGCAGTCACATGAGTCTACAGTATGGAGCTTAACCTTTGACAAGACTGGAGAAAGACTTGCCACTTGCAGTGATGACAGAACAGTGAAAATTTGGAAGGAATATAAACCTAACAACCAAGAGGGTGTTATAGTAACAGACAGAGAGTCTGTATGGAAATGTGTCTGCACATTATCTGGATACCATACCAGATGTATTTATGATGTAGCTTGGTGCCACCACACTGGACTCCTAGCAACAGCATCTGGTGATGACATCATTAGAATATTCAAAGAATCTGAAGACTCTGATCCTAATGCACCAACATTTGAACTTATTTGCACTAAACTGAATGCACACTCCCAAGATGTGAACTGTGTGAAATGGAATCCAACGGGCAACAAAGAACTACTCTCTTGTAGTGATGATGGAGAAATAAAAATTTGGAATTTCTCTGAATAAATTAATACTATTTAATAATAAGAATCATCATTGTTATAAAATATTGATCAAGTTTTGCATCAAAGTTTATTGATATACATTATTATTTAGTTATGTAGGCTGAAAGTGTTGGGATTTCATAATAAATGAATATTTTATTTTATGTAATTGTTTTCTTTGGTGCTAAAATTAATTTATATTGGGTTAGTGTAATATTTAAGTACATGGATTTCAGTTCAAATCTGATGATTTTAACAGTAGGAAAACGCATCTTCTCACAGAACAGTCTGAAAAGGTTCTATACAACAGCCATAAAAATGTCTACTGGAGAGAATGTTGGTGTCCCACTGCAGAAAGTGACTGCTGTTCTGGAAAATTTTGCGCCAAAACAACTGTCTGAAAGTTGGGACAACACTGGTCTATTGGTGCAGCCATACACTCCCAGGTAATTTAAAGTCATTTGTTTAATGGCAATAATTATTTATAATTTTTAATGTAGTATTCAGCAGTGACTGAGTCTCTTTATTAAAATACTATAAAACTAATGTTCCAGGAACATATCAAAAGTTCTGTTGACAAATGACCTCACAGAAGATGTGGCTTTGGAAGCCAGTAATCATGGATGTGAAATGATCATTTCTTACCATCCTCCTATATTTGCACCAATGAAGTCAGTAGTTCAGAGGTATGTTCATCCATTGTAATAAATTATTTCCTTTCTAAACTGACCTGCAAATAAAGACTAATGGAACTTTTGAAAATGTATATTAGATAACATAATATACTTCATGCCTTCCATCCCCGAAGGGCTAGCCAAAGGTGCACATTATGGCACTTTATGCCACTATACCCATTTTTTACTATTTTATACGTGACGAATCCCATGTAATAGGGGGCGAGCCTATTGCCATATACCGGGCAAATTTCCGGACTCAGTGGTACTACAGAGATTATTTTAAAAACCCAATACTTCCATGAAGTCGGGATTTGATGATGGAATCCTAGAGAAACCGAAGGGAACTTTTGAAAATTATAGGGGCGAGTAGTAATGCGTCTATTATGTTTTTCAATTATAATTTTTAAACACTACAATTTGATAAGGATCTGGAGTCGACCTGATGATGGAGCCGGCAGACAGTCGATAGAACTCTTCAACGGTTTAGGCTTGATTTATTTGTATTGATGAGGACTTTACACCTAGATAAAGTGGGACTGTCATTAAGGGTGTGATGAAGAAAAAGTGTAATTGTTAAGGGAACTCTTCAATGGTTTATAGTAACTACCTTGTCTTTGGGATTGTATAATTAGTATTGATTAGAACTTTGCACCTATGTAGATTATAAGTGACAAAACGGTTCTATGTAGTTTTACACTGAAAATGATA